AAAACTCTATGGCATTTCATATTCAACAGAACTGCAGAAACTGCTATTTATTAGAATAGTAAGGGTTCCTCTCCTGCCCACACCAGCCACAGGGAAATCATTCACAGTCATGTGTGTGCACACACAAGCCCCTGAAAAGCACCATGGCAATAAGACCTTCCCCACGGGAGTTGGTAACCTGCAAATTATCTTAGCCTTTCCTTATTCAGCTTACCAAACCCTCCCCAGAACTCCACACTGTTACTTCACCTGTGGTGATGTAAAGCGTTGGAACCCAGGCATCCTCCATTCCTGGGGAGTCGTAACTTACACACTGCACAAAACACAGTCTATGTAAGTGACCCATCACTTCAGCCACTTGGTTACCCAGGGCACTAGCCGCTGAACGAGGAAGGACTGCCCTGAAGCAGCTACAGAAAAGGCTTCCTTTGAGTTGAAAGGGTCAAAAAACTACCACAGAGAAGGGAAGCACTCGGGTAATGCTGTCATGCTGTGGACCTAGTCACAGGGTTGCCCATGAACCTGGAATCAGTGAATGATTAAAAAAAAAAAAAAAAAAAAAGTACATAATTGACTCCACTAAAAATGGGTAATTTCCTCCTTATCACTGAAAACATGCACTCTCATCTGAAATCTTTGTAAAAAGGATTTGACTGTTCAAACTTTTTATCAGCACCTCTCCTCACAGCTATCAATTAGACAACAAATTGGCTAAACATTTAAATTTGCCTTCAGTTTTGGTTTTCCTTTAAAAATTATGTAAACAAATAAGGAACAGGAAATCTCTTGTCAAATGGGACGGTCGGGAAACGGTCACCAGGGAAAGCATCCAGGCACCTTGTCACCTCACCCTGGCCTGGCAGGGGCTCAGTCACTGTCTGACTCCTCCTTGTACTTGGCCCGGATGGCCTGGCCGTTCTGCAGGGGCATTTCTTCATAGTCACTCCTGTTAGCAAAGAGACCTTTGAGACCGTCTGACTTCTGACAGCTCTTTATTTTCTTCTTCCGCACTGACACGCCATTCCAGCAGGAACTCGCTCATAGCTTCACTCTCTCAATCTTCCATCACCAGCAGCATGCTACTGCTCACCCCGTCCTCCTCACCCCACCCCCAGGGCCCACCAGTCCAGAAAGCAGACTTCTTCCTGTGGCCACCATGCCCCACAGGTATCCAAAAGAAAGGAATACCACCACATCTAAGCCCGAATACTGGGAAAACAGAAAACCATGAACCACAGGACACTCCCAGGTAAATGCTTTAGTCCCTTGAAAATAATTTTAGAATAGTCACCCGTTTAAGTAAGCATGCAAGGCCACAGTGGGATGCCCAAGGTGCGCCAGCCTTCTAAGGGACAGGGACTTACCCATAAATCACATCATCATCGGAGTCATTGAGCATGGAGAAGGCAGGGTTGTCTTTCAGCTGGGACTCTGAAAACCAACAAGAGCATTTTCATCTCCAGCCACTGACACAATTAGCCTGGACAGGCAGGACGCTCTCCCCGACAAAGGACAGGAGTCGGAAAGGGCTGGACTCAAATTGCAGATGCTGCCGCATCTGTACGAACCTCAACAAATCTCGTGAGGCTATTTTCTCATCTATAAGACAGGGATGGGTTGGCCTGCCTGGCATGGATGTCCTGAAGGCTGAGGGAGGTGGCCTCTGGGAAGGCGCAGGCAGGCCTGCTGGTGCCCTCGCATGGGCCGTCCCTGTTGACGTGGGGAGCCAAAAACAGGCCCCAGGAGACCCGGCTCTGCCATGCCTGCGCCCACCCAGTCCTTGGACATGCAGCGAGCTGCTGCTTCTGAATGCCTTCTTGTGTAAAATGGGCACAATTACATGTTTATCATCAAGTTGTTGTGAAGCTTAAGATGCCGGTCGTGAAGGAGCTCGGAAAGTGGCAGCACATGGTAAGATGTCTCGGGGCGGGGCGGGCCTACCTGTGTTCTAGAAGGCTCCCTTCCATTTCATTCCCTGTGCAAGAGGGTTGTTTTGGTTTCATTTCCGGACGACTGTTTTTGTATGTTTTGGCTTTTTTTGAATGGTAACAACACTACTACAGATGGTCCCTGACTTACAATGGGATTATGTCCTGATAAATCCATTGTTAAAATGAAAATATCATTAAAATGCACTGACTATATCTAACACACTGAACATCATGGCTTAGCCTATTCTGCCTTAAATGTTATTACATTAGCCTACAGTTGGGCAAAATTATCTAATGCAAAACTTTTTTTTTTTTTTTTTTGCCACAGGGTCTTATTCTGTCACCAAGGCTGGCGTGCAGTGGCGTGCTCATAGTTCACTGCAGCTTCACCTCTTGGGCTCAAGCGAGATCATCCCTCCTCAGCCAAACGAGTGGCTGGGACTACTGGAACATGCCACCGCAACTGGCTAATTTTTAATTTTTTTCTAGAGACGGGGTCTCTATTTTGTTCCCCAGGCTGGTTACAAACTCCCAGCCTCACACAATCCTCCCACCGTGGCCTCCCAAAGTGCTGAGATCAAAGCCTATTTTGTAATAAAACTTTGGACTATCTCATGAACTTATTGAATGCTGTACTGAAACTGAAAAACAGAATTGTTTGATTCCTCCCGAATGTGAATTGCTTTTGCACCATTGTAAAGTCAAAAACAATCTCAAGCTCAACAGCATAAGCTGAGAACTGCCTGTAGTTGACAGACTTGACTTCGTACAGCTGATGGACCTGTGGCTATGCTATGGCACACCAACAAAGTGAGTGTATTAACTCTGCGTGGGAATGCCACGACACAGGCTCCCTGTGTGCTGGGCCCCAACTCGTCTCAGAGCTCAGCATTTAAACTCACTGTCTCTCTGCCAAGAGAAACGACTGGGAATCATGGTGCCCACATGAATGGGAAAACCAGGAAGTGGGTCCTGCTGAACACAGGCTTCTGTGCCCGATACCTGGCCAGGAGCCCAGACCCCAGGGTGGCTTACCATAGAGGGCATTCTTCGACGGAGAATACACAAAGGCCAAGGTGTAGAGATAAAAGTTCAGCAAGCCATAGAAAGATAAGAACTCGGCTGGTGGCACTGTCAAGGGAAGGAACAAAGCGTCTGGACGCCTCAGTCAGTGGCTCTGCGGCACCCTGACCACTTTCCGCCATCAGCAGCCCCTTCTAGTGCTAAGTACCAGCCAGCGCCCGGGGGCCATAACCCAGACATCAGGACACCACGGTTCACGCCCACAGCCAGGGTCACAAGGACTCCTCAAGGTCACAGTAAATAACAGGTGAACCGCGGCCTATCACGTCAGTGGAAACCTGGACCCACTGAGCCATCTGGTGGCACTCCTGTCACCACACTGAGAGCAGGGCCAGAAGAGATGAAGTTACATGGAAAGGGCAGAAGGCCGTAGGCATATAGTGAATCAAAGTATTTAGACACAATAATGAAATAAAGAATTGGGAACAAACTCTCAAACCAGTTGTTCTGAACATTTTCTGGATTACAGCTCCCTAAGAAAATGTGATAAAAGCTTAGCATAAAATTCAGTCACAAAAATCTGAAAAACTGTGTATTAATTCATACATTAATTGGGACATAAGTAGTCCCAAAAAAAGAACCCAAGATTTAAAGGATTAACGCCTGAAATGTCCCCATCAAGGGGGAGTGGAAAGCACACCCATAAGCTCTTGGACCTCTGGGCAAGGGCAGGGCTCCCCAGAGACCACAGCCCTGCGCCACTGGCCTTGGGCACAGCAGGAATCGAAGGGGGTCCCAGGATTTTAGGAGCCCTTCTCTACAGACACAGCCTCAGCCTGCCACGACTATTATGCCCCTGGATACATCTCAGTGACGGTGACAGAGACACCCCCAGCAGAGGCTCACAGCAGCCTCGGCCACCTCGCAGTGCTCTGCTGGAGGGTAGTGGGGGCTTGGACCCCCATGGTGTGGAGGGGTGACTACACCGCACTCACCGCATGGTGCCCGCCCCTCTGGGTAGAAAGCAGGGTGGCGTGGGCACGCTCCAGAGCGCCAGCCCCCCTGGGTTTCGAGCCGGGCTCTGCTACCCGAAACCTGATCGGGGGGAACTGCTGAGCCCTCAGGCCCAAGTTTCTTGTCTACAGAGGAGGGACAAGGCCACCCATTCCTGCGGCTGCAGTGGGGCCAACTGAGACGCCTCTCGGCAGCGATGAGGCCTCCAGGGAACAGGACTCGAGGAGCTGATCCGTCTCCTCTCACGAGGGGCAAACCTGAGCCACCAACCGCTCTAACACTAGGCAGACCTTCCTCGGCCGGGGCCTCCAGTTAAAAGGATATAATTCTGGTAGTGAGTGGACAGCTCTGCTACAAAATTGTCTTGCAGTACTTGTGCTCCAAATCGCAAATAAAGGATGACAATGCTGAAAAAGACAGAGCAGCAGAGACAGAATGTGACCATGCCTAAAAACAGCACTAGTCTCAGAGAAAGGCTTCATTCACCCCATTCAGCCTTTCGCTCTGTACACTACGATTTCTGCATGGGAACCTCCACACACATGCACAGATGCACACACACACACGGGCACAGAGCCCCTGCCTCTGGTTTCTGGTCTTGGATCTAGGCAGGCTAGACACACACACACACACACACACACACACACACACACACACACAGTCCCTGTCTCTGGTTTCTAGTCTCGGATGTAGGCAGGTTAGACCCACCAGCGGGCTGCAGAGATCAGATGAACCCTGCTGCGACCCCGTCCCTCTCTCCACTCGGGGCCTTGAAGCCCCTCAGCACATTCTCCTCCCTGCTCTCGCAATTCAGGTTTTCGAGACTGTCTCCTGTGACAGAGCACCCCCCCGCTAAGGGAAGCCACAGCTCCCCTTTCAGACACAGGGACACCTCCCCAGTCAGTCGCAGTGACTTCCACAGTGACTAAGTCAATGCACCTTTAGTTCAGACTCCCACTCAGTGACAGATGACAATGGAGGCCTTGGGTAACACAGGTCACAGGCTCCTTCCCCCACCTGCCTTCCCCCTCACCTCCCACGTGCCACATGTTCTGCAGCCTGGAGCAGCCACACACAGCTTTCAGGGCTCCTTCTCAGGTCCCCAGCCAAATGTCACCTCCCCAAGAGACACATCCCCAAACCACTCATCTATGGCAGACCCCTCCCCTCCACAAGTCACGTCTCCGTTTCGTTTGTGGCATGGCACGCAGGCAGTGTCTTTACTTGTTTGCCACTTGTCTCCCTCTGTGGGAACATAAATCCCATGACAGGAACCTGCCTGCCAGGGCAGGCACTAGGTCACTATTTGGAGGATAAATGCGTTCCCCTAACACTCCTGTGAAAAGAGAGCACGAGGCAGAGCAACTTCTGAGACAGAGGCCACCAACAGGAGACAGCAGCTCCCAACTCGGGGACTAGGTAGTTTAAGGGTGAAGATATGAGACTGAGGGTGTGAGGGTGTGAGGGCGAGTGTGAGGGTGTGAGAATGAGGGTGAGTGAGGGGGTGAGGGTGAGCGTGTGACGGTGTGTATGAGGGTGTGTGAGTGAGGGTGTGTGAGGGTTAGGGAGGGTAAGGGTGTGTAAGGGTTAGGGTGTGGCGTTAGGCTGTGTGAGTGAGGGTGTGAGGGAGTGTGAGGATGAGGGTAAGCGTGTTTGAGGGTGTGTGAGAGTGAGGGTGAGGGTGTGTGAGAGAGTGTGAGAGTGGGTGGGTGAGGGTGTGTGAGAGGGTATGTGAGGGTGAGGATGTGTGAGAGGGTGAGGGGGTGTGAGGGTGAGGGTGTGTGAGAGGGTGAGGGGGTGTGTGAGGGTGAGGGTGTGTGAGGGTGAGGGTGTGAGAGGGTGAGGGTGTGTGAGTGTGAGAGTGTGTCAGGGTGTGTGTGAAGGTGTGTGAGTGAGGGTGTGAGGGTGTGTCAGGGTGTGAGGGTGTGTGAAGGTGTGTGAGAGGGTGTGTGAGAGTGAGTGTGAGAGGGTGTGTGAGGGTCAGGGTGTATGTGTGAGGGTGTGAGAGAGTGAGGGTGTATGTGTGAGGGTGTGAGAGGGTGTGAGGGGGTGTGAGAGGGTGTGAGGGTGTGTGCGAGAGTTATGAGGGAGTCAGGTGTTGAGTGAAGCATGAATGAGGTTGTGTGAGTGAGCCTGTAGGTAAGGGTGTATGACAGTGTCTCAGACGTCACAGAGACGCGGTGCACAGTTAGCACTGAACAGAGCCTAACAGTTAAAACACACATGCTGCATCATTCTGAATAAATTCTGAGGCTGAAAGAAATCTGAGTCCTAGCTGAGCTCCCACTCCAAGGGATGGGATGCCACTCATAGGAATGCCTATCTCAGTCCTCACCCTCCACAAGATGGGGACCCTAAGAGTCCACCTGGAAAGCCTGGACAAGGGCCGACCTCCCAGAGGCCCCTTGTCACTCCCATAAAGGAAAAGGGCCGACATCCACTTAATTGTCATCCAAACAACCTAGAAAGGAGCAACTACATTTTTCCCTCCTCTGGATTCTGATTTTAGGAGAAAGAGACAAACCATAAACAATCCACCAACTGATCTGGAATCTAACAACTTCCAAGCCCTCTCTGTTCCTCTACCAACTGGCCAGCACCAGTCCCCAGGGAGGTCCGAGGCGCTCAGGCCAAGCCAAGCCTGCCCCGGGAGCCCTTGGGCTGACCCCACTCCCTGACACAACAGGAACCAGCCCGCCTCGCCTCGCATAGCCCCCTCATGGCACCAACGGAGCATGCTGCTCTGCTCAAAGGTGTCTGCTGTCCTAACTCACACTTAGAGTCCTGTCCTCCGGGAACCGCAAGGATCCCGAGGTTCCCAGTGTCCTCACATCCATCGTGTAGAATTCCAACTGTCCAGCTGGCGATTGCATGCCACACATATGGCAGGTGGCACAGCAAGGACGGAACACGCCCCGTGCAGGCCGAGTGTGCGCGAGCGCACGTGCTCCAGTCCCCACCACTTATAACGAAAACACGTTCTCCAAGCTGGCGTCCGCTCTCGCTGCCCAACCTTGGTGGGAGGCCCTCTAACCTCATGCGTCTACTGGGCTAGAAGGACCCTGAAATCCACTCCACAACAGGAGCCCCTCACAGTAAAAGAAAAATTCTGTTTTGCTCTTTTTAAGAAATAAGTCTTCTTACCTAATGACAAGTACTACAAAAGTCAATGCGGTCAAAAATTTTAACCTGAGATCTGAAAAACAAAGAAACTCTCATTAACAACCCTGGAAGTACATTCCACTCTCATCTCATTTTGTTTTGAAAAATTAAAAAAAAAAAAAAAAAATGAAGCAAAGCTCTTTGTACAAACGCTCCTCCCCCGCCCAAGACTTGGCCGGAGTCACCTTCAGCACAGGAGAACACTGGTCCCTTCCCAGGGCCAGGGTGCTGTCCAGGGAGGCCACAGCCACCATCCTCTGAAGGGACAGACTCGGAGAAGGATCCCGCAAGCTCAGGGTGACTCTCCCTGCTCTGCAGGGTGCAGTCCCGCAGGACCCAGGCCACTCTGATAGCCCCAAAGGCCAGAGTAACCTGTTAGGCCTGTTGTGGCCTCCCAGGACCACGTGCCTGGTCCCCGGCCTATGGGGATGGACCAGTCTCTGGGCCCTCAGGGAAGGCCCCTGGCTTGGGAGACTCCAACCACTTCTTCCCCCACCTGAGTCACTCCCGAGCCACCCCTGCGCCGAGTGATTCTGAAAGGGGCGCTTACCCACATAAGGCATGTGTTGCAGCTCAGAACACGCCCGCACTATCAAAAACAAGAGGTACAGGACGTACACCGCTGCCACCACCATGAAGAAGACCTTCATTCCCTAGAAGGAAGCAAGGCGGCACTTTAGTCAGAACAGGGCCTATGACCTTCTCCTCCCGGCACCTCCACAGCCAGGAAAGCCACAGGTTTTTAGAAGGGACTTAAATCCTGAAGGACCCTCCAGGAAGCAGAACAATGGGGTACCATCGGGACCATCTGCTCAGTCCCCTGTGAGTACAGGCATCTCCCCCAAGATGATACCCCAGGCCTTGCAAATCAGCAGAGCAGAGCCCAAACTCCCACCACGGACCCGTCCAGGCACAGCAGGTGCTCACAGATTGCAGTGGCCACTATCTGTCTGCCTCTCCCCTGGGGACAAGGGCCTGGCTCCCCACCCTGCCCCCTGCATGTGGGAAGCTCGCATGTATCCAAGAAAAGACCCAGGCTGGGCCCTGGGAATCCACATGCAGTCTCAACCACTCCAGACCTCTGTTTCCTTATCTGTGACACAAGGGGCGTGAATTAGATTAGAAGCCCTAAGATCTAAAAAAACACAATTCTGTAATGTTATTACAGAAACCCAAAGCCCTTTTCCAAAGACTTTTCCAGAGCTGTGATGGGGAAGGCAGGCCCATGGGTTCTGTGGAGGGCAAGGCCATGGGGTGGACAGTGCCCTTGATGCAGTCCCCACTCCTCTGAGGCTCCAGCCCAGGCCACACCCCAGCCCTTTTCTGCCCTCTCAGGGCCAGAGCTCCCCTCTTACGGTCAAGGCTCAGAGTGCGGGACAGCACAGCAGGAGCTGGGATTCTTTTTCTCGAAAGAACCCTTAGTTGGGACTTATGTAAAGCAAAACCACTGGACTAGGCCAGTGTGACTTTAGTTGGGACCTTATATAAAGCAAAGGGACTGGACTAGACCAGCGTGTTTAGCACAGAGAAGTTTCTGCTCTCCGGTGTCTCCTTCAGCAATGGAGATGAGCCCTGGGGTCAGTTCCAGAGCCCACATCACATGGGACACCTGACTGGGAAGGGAAGATCATCCAACCAGAGCCACAGTGACAGGGCCTCGGCTGTATCCTTCCAGGGACCGTCACTGCCATCAGCCACAGACCAAAGACTAGGCGTAAACACACTGTTTTAAAGAGGTTTTCTGACGGGCACAGTGGCTCACGCCTGTAATCCCAGCACTTTGGAAGGCTGAGATGGGTAGAGCACTTTAGCCCAGGAGTTCAAGACCAGCCCGGCCAACATGGTGAAACCCCATCTCTACTAAAAATACAAAAATTAGGGCTGGGCACGGTGGCTCACACCTGTAATTCCAGGACTTTGGGAGGCTGACAGGGGCGGATCATGAGGTCAAGAGACTGAGACTGGTCCTGGCCAACATGGTAAAACCCCATCTCTACTAAAAAATACAAAAATTAACTGGGCGTAGTGGCATGTGCCTACAGTCCCAGCTACTTGGGACTGTAGGGAGGCTGAAGCAAGAGAATCGCTTGAACCCAGGTGGTGGAAGTTGCAGTGAGCTGAGATTGTGCCACTGCACTCCAGCCTGGGCAACAGAGCAAGACTCCATCTCAAATAAATAAATAAATAAGCAAGCCAGGTGTGGCAGCGCACACCTATAGTCCCAGTTACTCAGAAAGCTGAGGCAGGAGAATCACTTGAACCCAGGAGACAAAGGCTGCAATGAGCTGAGATCATATCACTGTACTCCAGCTTGGTGACAGAGTGAGACTCCGTCTCAAAAAAAA